ACGACAGCTTCAAGTCAACGATATAGTCATAATCGCAGATAATACACTGCCAAGAAACGTATGGCCTCTGGGGGTAATTACACGCACCTACCCGGGACCCGACGGAGGAGTACGAGTCGCCGATGTACGCACCAAGACGGGCATCTTTAAGCGCCCCGTTAGCCGGCTCGTCGCTTTGGGGATTGAAGAGGCTACGCAAGCTGCGCCGGGGGGAGAGCTGTTAGCGACTCAAGCGGCTAACGGATCGCCTAAGTAATTTACAGAAGAAAATAACAAAGTGTCGCCTAACACACCGGTTGAACAACCACATCGCATCAAGCAATAGTTCGTCGCGCGTCCTACTAGTCACCGGCAGAGCAACCAGTCGCAGCGAAATCACCGCTTGTCGAACCGCCCTGGGTGGCGCCACGGCGACGGCGGATCGAGGCCGTGATTGGTCGACGCCCGAAGATTAGCTTTTAAACACTAGTTAATTGTCATACCAATGTCAGTGTATATATATATGTAAATAAAAATTTGTACGATACGGCTCAATTGTAATGAAGAATAATAAACGTCTAAAAGGAAGAACTCTTTTATTGGAAGAACAATCAAAATTAATACAGTCCACTACAGACACCGTACAGTGTTCGAAGCGTCGGCAATATTTAACGCTGTGATTCCGTCATCGCCGCTGCCCATGGACTTAAGTAGCCACAAATGGTTTCCGACCTCATGCTTGTGCACTGAGCGTGTAATACTATGCTCTCTGGATCTAGCAGTGGTCCGAAGTGCCTAGGGGCATCGGCAGATCCCGCAAACGACTCACTAGAACCACACTGGTGATCCTGAGCAGGTTTGTTCTGCAAGGCCATGTTACTTTTCTGGTTTGAGCCCTTCCAATTATTAGCAGTAAAAACCACTTCGCGACTCTACCACGCGTTAGATGAGTGTAATGGTAAACCGTCGTATAAAAAGCTGACACTTTATTATACTAGGTTTGCTAGATTCTCGCATTCCCGCTTATTGCTTTCCAGCTGTTTAAATCGTATGAAATAGTACGAATACTGATTGCGGCGCACAATCAAACAGAAATTCGAAGAGCGACGCTCGAGGTGATAACTGGTCAATTATGCACAGAGCGTACTAGGAAGTTGGCCCAGTTCCCGTCGGTTGGACTGGGTTCAATTCCAGCCGGCGCCAAAGTCGATGGCAGTTTCAGTGAACGCCAATTAACGCATCCTAATGAGGTTCGAATACAGCGATGTGTTCCAATACGACAGTCGCGATTGGCTTTGTTCTTACAAATTTTATGTTAAAGCATCAGAGAAAAGTGAGGAAAACGCCATTTTTAACAAGTGCGGTTGGTAACGACAATTTTCTTAGCATCAAATACGTATTTACCTTCATGTTAAACAATTAACGATAACAAATAGTAAAAGAGCTAAATCTTACTCAGATTAATTTTTGAAATTACATAATCTACCTTCTTCATCCTCCTTGGTCTTGTGTTCAAGTTCTTTCGTTCGGAATAGTTCGGCCCCCTCATTTACATTGGGAACGAAAAATAAGTAAGAATTACATATTCGTCATTACGTCCGATTATATTGTGAGCGTCTTTAAGCCATTGACAACCTACAGCTATAACATTTTCTATAATTCGGTTAAACGATGGGTTGCAAAAGTATTGCCCAAACCCTCTAAGTTGAATTCGTCCGGAAATACCTCTGTGACAATTCATGATACAAGTGGTACTTTTTTACAATTATGAGCTAGTGAATTCGAGTACAGACCGACTTGCAAATCTCTAGCCCGCCACCAGCGCTACAAAGTTGTTGCAGTTGGATAATGGACTATTCACAATATGGAACGGTTTCCAGTTGATTTAGGGCGCCTTCGAGAACAATCGCTGCGTTATATGTCAGGAATATGAATAATTGATGCACCGACGCCCAAGGGTTGATAAGTTTATTTGCCAACGAGGGAGATGGCAAATTTCCCCTTTAGAAAATCCAAGTCGTACCAGTATGAAGATTAACGCTTATTTTATTAATAACGAAAAAAAATGCCTTCACCCATAGAATAAAGTTTTAATAAAGTAGGGGAATTGACTTTGATTTGAAATATTCATGATTACGATGTCGGTGTGTAAGTACGAAATTAATAGACCAAATCTAAAAGTTACTGTACCTCATGGGATTAGAAAGTTGTAAAATTGTGAAATGAATTTTAATTCTGCTCCCCAAAGCGACATAAATACTTGTAGTAGTGAACTCGGCTTAATAATTCTTCAAACCTAACCCTAAATAAGAATAGGTAATTGTACGTTTCACGGTGGTAGGGCCACGCATCCGCCTCGGCTGTTGCACGAATGGGCAGGCTATCCGGGTAAGTACCACGATCTCACATAAGACTCGCTTAAAGTGGAAGTTTAATACTTTCGCGTTTTGGTGAGTGAGGTGGCCGGAGCCCAATTTTCAAAAGGTTGTCAACGCATCTGGAACCCTCGGGTGTAGCAGATGTCCATGGGCGGCGGTATTCACTTAACATTAGGTGAACCGTCTGCTCGCTTGGCAACTTGTCACATAAAAAAACCACTTTGGTTTTTTTATGTGACATTTTAAAACATGGTCGCTGGCTCGATTAAATCACATTTGTAGGTGTTGATTAGACAACGATCTCGTCGGCTGCTCTCTCTTATTTGCCCAGGATTAAAGATTACTTAAATTGGGTTACACTCTTATCACCGATATGGATTCATATTTACGCGAATACTAAATATGGTTAAATTAAACTTTTTAAGGATTTTAACGCGTTTTATTTTTATTTTAAATTCTGGCCGCTCTTTCATATACTTTTCAGTGTTCATGGTCTGTCCCGTGAGCATGAACCGCTGTAAAGTACGAAATGTCGGGAATTAAAAAAAACCGATAAAATCCTTTACTGTATAACTTGTTAATAACAACGTACTTACATGTAAAGAACAATATTAATAAGATTCGCAATAATTACCCATATTGAATACTTTTTTATGGAAAAATTCCAGTAAGTCGAGTGACTATCAGATGATGCGATTATGATCACTGCTTATCAGGTGTGATGGTAGATAATTACCGGCCGGCATTTGAGGAAAAAGGGTAATAAACACAGTTAAACCTTAATTGAGTTGACCTTTGATGACGTTGGGTTTCGATAGCGGTGTTTTCAATTTTATATAAAATGTATGCTTAAAAGTTGTTTTATATAATGTATTTCATATAATGTGTTTGCTTAGTTTGCGAAAAGTTTTTCAAATGCTTAAAAAATATGTGTTACAATTGTGTCAAAACTATGTTTAGACCAATTTTATAAATAAAGTAATATTCAATAATTGTAAACCTCACCGTAGCTATTTAGTATGTTGCATTTGAAAGATATTTTGAATGTTATAGTTTACTTGTTATCGTACATAAATTTTGTATTATGGCAATAATAAGTATCGAATAAAATGTCTTATATAGTACCAAACGCTTACCACAAAGCGGTTTTGACGTACCAAAAGTGAGGCTGGGATTTAAATATCGATAAACGAAACATTCGCCATTTGTACTTACTACAGGCTTATTTCAAAAGATCAACAATGTTCAATCAAATGGAATTTACAAAAAAAACTGTTTTACACAACAAGAAACCCTTTGCACCTTTTGTTGGACAACGCGAGAAATTAATTTCAATACAAGCTTAACTAATACACAGAAAACTAAAATTATACTCATTTAGAGTGTTCATGTTTTTGAGATATCGTTTTTACTTAAAATGCCGTACTACGTTTTATAAATTAAATATTGCAATATTACACTTTTATACTTACTAAGCCTTAAAAATAGAAGTTTATAATAGTAAGATTTTAACATGAGTACACAATATTCAATATTTTTATTATTAATGTTAATATCGATACCTATAACTTAGAAATGAGAGTTTCGTAAAATATAAACTCGCATCACAACTTGTGATTCACAACACTACGATTAAGTTGTGTTGTTGCAGGGCTGCCAAGTTTACGATTTTCCCCCAAATTTAGGGGGTAAACAAACACATTGGGATTTTTTTAAGGATGTTGTATTATTAGGGTTATTTTGAGGGATTTGTTGACTTCTTATTTTTTTCCTTCGTTTTATTTCGTGTTATTTTTATTGATTAACAAAAGTAAAGGTATTAAAATAAAGAGCCTGGAGTAACCCAATCTACCTAATTATATTTAGTTCATGATCTAGGGGTTTAGCGGCTAGTACGGTTTTTCATTATTAAGATTGTGGAGTTGAACTATGGAGAGTAAAGATAAGTGTCCGTTAAGAAAAATACAATAGCCGTAGCGTAGGATAAATGCAAAAGTAATTTAAATCTTTTTTCATTTATTATGAATCACATTTTTGGAATTATGCTAAAAACATTGGTTGTCTAAAGAAATCATAAGAGACAATTTTTTATAATATTAAATTTCCTACAATTTTTCACAACCACTTTTTATAAGACCAACGTTTTCACTGCAATATATTTCTCCGTACTATTCCATTCATGTGGAAATGAAGACAAAAAATCTTTTCACTATTTATTATTTACATTTTTTTAATAATATTTTTTGATTAGGGGATTTTGACTTGGGCTTTAGGGACAAATATTTTCGAAAGTTGGTAGCACTGGTGTTGTGGAACTGGGCGGAGGAAGGAAGATCGATAGGTCCGTTAAGCGGTTGTTTGTAATGTCAATATGCATTTTTACGCGTATTAAAATATTCTATTTAATTTGATTATCAATACGGTTTACATATTTACGTAATGTAATATGAGAATATTTTTTCAACTTAAGATTCTATATACAATGTACGAATTTTATTTTGCACATTTTCTTCGTTTCGTGTTAGTGTCTTCGTGAATCAAATATGTGGTGATAATGGGTGTCAAATTTATTATTAGTGTATAGACAGTGAGCTGTGCTATGTACTTGTGTTTTGTGTATTTTGGAAGATTATTTGCCTTACCATGGCTCTGAGAGATTATGTGAGTGAGTTCTTCCATAACCACAACATGATGGCGCCGTTCTCAAGGTTTTACCGAGCCATGGTGCTCAAGATGAACCAAAGGGACTATTGTAAGCATATGGAACCATAATTTTTATTATTGTTAAAGTACATGTTAGGTGTATTTATATTACTGGTTTCAAATATATTTTTTTCAAATATAACAAAATATTACATCAGAAGTCCACTGAAGAATGAAATTTGCTACAATTAATAAGAACTGATTGTGTACCAATAAATATATACAATTAATATCATACATATATCCAACATTAAGAAACTTCAAGTTGGGCCATATCTTATCTCATTACTTTAATACTTACACTTTATCCAGAACAAAATAATCTTTGCTTACAACATCATTTAGTCCCATCCTAATCTTGTACTGTAGTACTTAATACTGTAGTTTTACCTCCAATTGTTTCTTGAGATACATGAAATACAAGTCAGGTTCACCTAATCTTAAGTAACTACTGCGGGCCATGGATGTTTACTATTTCAACGGCTTGCAGATGTGTTGCTAATCTTTAAAAAGTGCCCCCCCTATAATGCGATCTTAATAACTAGACAAAACATCACACCCTGGCCCTACCATAATAACACTGTCTCTTTTGATATAAGTAATGTTTTTAAGCTTTACATATAAATAATCCCTCTTTAGAGACAATAGGTTTCCAGGCAACTCCGGGTGTCACAGTCTTGTACTAATTGTTTTCAGGTCATCTTCTCTTTAGTCAACCTAAAAACTTATGGGGCTTGCCAATTAGTAGGAATTATTCTCACCAAGTTTTTGACTGCCCTCTTATTTTATAGGCATTAATTTTCTTTGTGTTTTGAGACGAGTCGCCCGAATTCAAGTACACTGTAAGTTTGGGGGGGTTAAGGAGGTTCGTACCAAACACTGTCAACATTTTTTTCTGCCGGAGACGCATAAAAAATTTAATTAGCTATTTTTGAAAATTAAAATATTACGAAACGTTTAATGGAATGCAATTTTGATAAATTTCAGTGTTTTCGAAGATGCAAATAATAAAAAAAATTAAACGATAGAGAAAAATCACCAATGAATTGATCAACAAGCAGAAGTCTCCAGTCGCATTCAGTTTATGAGAAAAAAATTAATTAAATCTTATTATTTTCACTAAGAAAGTACACACATTTTATTAATTTTAATAAAACTGCATACACAGTACTGCCATCATGATAAATATAGGAAGTGGGAGACTTCATACTAGTACCATTTTTTTGATCAATTTTTATTTTTATTAAATGAGTTGCTGAGCCGACACAGAGCAATCCGACTCGGACAGATTAGGTTAGAAGGTTCAAGGTGCCTGAACCTTATACTTCCTTAACTTTCTTCCTTGTGGTTATTTTTTTTATAACCACCCAATAGCCCTTCTTTTGTTAAGTGTGGTTAAGAACAACAGGTAGGAGGGGAACCCTCCCATTCTTATTAGATTTCTTGACATTCGGTGACTCGTTTCAAAAATTTACCCTTTTCTTTTAATAAAATGGAATTGACTATATAATTGTATGGCTTGGTCAGTTATTTTAAAGGTCCAGTTAGTTTTTTGGTCCAAATTTACTAAACAATGGTAGATTTTAATGGTAGATTTTTTTTACTCAACAAATAATTAATAATTATGTCTTTAATTAGAACAAAATTTAACTTCTATTAAATATTTACTTTGTATTAATCATCAACTACACTTACTAACAACAAATAAAATGATTAGACTCCTAGTCCATTCATTGCCTTATTTTACATTCTTTTATTGACTTATTTTTAAACACTTTTATTAGTTTCACCTGTATGTTTGATCAATTTGAAAATTTGTATACTTATCAAAGACTAGACTGCACAACAGTTTAAAAAAATATTTTATAAAATTTCGATGTCTAGAATGTCGTTAGTACTAAGCACACAAGCATAATTGTCTCTTGCTTTTTTAGTGACAATAATTTTGCTGTTCATCACTTTATTCTTACATCAATTATATTTTTACTTTTCATGCTCGCCATTTGTGTTTTTTAGAGTTCCGTACCTAAAGGGTAAAATGGGACCCTATTACTAAGTCTTCGCTGCCTTTCTGTCTGTCTGTTCTTCTATAACCAGCCCATGAATTGTGATAGTTAGACAGTTAAAATTATTCGCGGCCTGACGCTTGAGTCACTAAACTAAAGGGCTGATGTCCACACCGACTAAAATCTTAACGTCTTTTATCTCCATTGTTTGTTAGAATTTGAAGCAATGCTTAATGCATCCATTGTTATATCCTTTCCAGCATACAAACAATTTCGAATATCGTTTCACAACGATAATCCGAACATGAGATGTCGCCAGTGCTTTTAAGAAATTTCAATAATATAATCATTTATTGTTGTTGGCATCTGATATTTTTGCACTTTACTCTGTTTTTTGAATATAGAAAGAAATGTAGCTGGGGGTTGTCAGAACTCATGATGTGTGTTTAATTTTTAAATTCATTATAATAACCACATCACTTTGTGTTATGGGAACATTGACATTACTAAGGCAAACAATGGAAATAACATACATGTAAGAAAACTTAGGCATTTCTTAAAATACATTATGACTCAAGTATTCCATAAACTTGACCTACCTTAGTGGGGTGCACCACCCACCCTCTGCTTCAGCACACAGTTTGATGTCGGAAACAATGTTGCTATCAGTATGCCAAGGTCACCAGCCCAGGTTGCTTGTAGTTAATTCGGCAGTAAAAAAAGACTTGTTAATTGACCGCACTATGAGTATGGCCATGAAGCTTATATTGAACATAGTAAACTTTATCACTGCCTGCTTGTTTGATTTCCTCGTGAAATTTAATTGGCGAAGAGTAGTTTACTTTGTTTTTCGTTTTTCATCCAAGGTGTTATTTTTACATTAAGCAATATTCGTTATTGACGAAATTATTAAAACGTGTAAATGTGTAATAGTTACATACATAAGTGAATTATTTTAGGTATGATCATGTGATTGCTTGAAATCAAATAAAAATAACATTTTTAGGTATTTGGTATTTGTTGACATGTGGAGTTGAAAAATTACGTTCTGCGAACGAGTGTATATTTGACGCAGCTCATTCAGATGTTGTGTTTTTAATTTGCAGAATTTTTCCGCTCTACTGTTATTTATTTCGACAACGGGGCAGGGTTTGTACTGTTTGTTAGTGTCATTTCTTTTATCGAAGTTCCTATGATGATATCACAGCGATGTGGTCATGCGGTCGACCTTGGTTTTGCCTACAATGGAAAGTTAATAACATTGTTAAATTATTAGTGACATGAATATTGAGAAGGAATATTTTTGTTAGTTTATTACAAGTTCTTAACAAAGTTATAAATAATATTTTTATGCCTACGACCCTACGTTTTATTTAGCATAGATGTATAATACTTATTTAAAAAGATGGCGTAGTACGGAATACTGTACTAGTTTTCCGTTAGTACCGTAGGTACTGTAGAGTAATATAGGTATTTATTGTGAAACATCTGTCATTAAGTGTAACCGGTATTTTTTTACGTAAATAATAACACACCATAATCCATTAAATATGTCAAAGTTTGTGCTGGGTACAAAAAAAATTGCTGGGAGTATTGATGCAATATTTTAACGTGGGTAAAGGCCCATTTACACGATGCCATTTTCTTGTACATACAAGAGCAATAATTGAATGCAATAAATTGCGCGACTTTACATTTGGTTTGACCATAAAACATTTATTGCTCTCTCAACAGGCAAGAAAAACTGGCATCATGTAAACGTGTAGACAATTTGCACGTTTCAAAAGTGGTTTCACAACAAACTACGGCCTGGAAATACTGAATCGAAAGGGATTTTTGCACCGAATTGTCATTGGTGATGAAAAATGGGTCGATTACGAAAATTCTAAGCGCAGAACGTTATGGGTTTAAGCGGCCAACCATCAACATCAGTGGCGAAGCAGAACATCCATGGATCTAAGCTGCTACTCTGTATTTGGTGGGACCCGACCCCCCTGTGATTTATTACTATAATATATATATTAAACTGAAACCGAATGAAACCATAACTAGGGATCGCTACCGATCGGTGTACAACCAATGCGTCAACTGAGCTGCTGTGCTTTTTGTAGCCTCTGAAATCTCTGTGCACGCCACTGGGTATTCTCTTCTTGAAAGATGGCAGAAAGTAGTGGATAGCGATGGAGATTATTTTGGATGATGTAATATTTTATTCAAATTATAAATTAATTAAATAAATAAGAGAAAAAACCCTACGAACTAATTTTAACTCCTAATATTTTCTAATATTGTTTTATTACGAAACTAGCGACTCGCCTCGGCTTCGCACGGGTGCAATGTATTACACATATAAAACTTCCTCTTGATTCACTCTATCTAGTTAAAAAAAACCGTATCAAGATCTGTTGTGTCGTTTTAAAGCATACACATAGGGACAAGTTTAAACCGCAATAACCCGTAACATAATTCACTTCATAACATTCATAACATTCATTCATAACAGACGTTAAATTTTTCTTTTGACGTGTATATAATACTTACCACTCTGTTGAAGAAAGTCGTGATTTGTTTTTAAATCTTTGTAATACAACTTCGTGTTTACAAAGTTTTTTTATTTCGATTAAGTTTTGTCTAAAGATTGCTTTTCCCATCATATCATTCCATAATCACTCCAAAGCTTATGCTGATGTCGGGAAATAATCATTTCTTTTCAGCCCTCTCTCAACGAATCAAACTACGTATGAGTTTTTTATGCCCTGGGGAATTCGTTGGATTGCGCGAAGAACAAATTACACGACACATCTTTGCTTTTTGTGGCTTTGACATGTTTACTTTGAATAACATATGGACATGACATAAGATTATCAACTATTTATAAATCTCATGAAATAAGAGACGTGTTGGCGTTTGTTAGCCGCCGTTGCAAAACATAGTAATTATTATTTAAGGTGAAAATGCGCGATGTTAAATGAATACATGATAATGGAAAAAAGTGTTATATTTTGTTTTGTATTATTATCATTTGTGCAATTGTTGTAAGTTT